CGTCATTTATAGAAAAATTAAATTTATAATGATTAGTAGTATTAAGTAGCTTTCTCAAACTGAATCTTGAAAAAAGCAAATGTTCGATCATTGCATTGACTATTATTCTTATTCGATACATCGAATTTTTTAGTCGCGAAGTAAGATTGCAAAGTAATAATTTAATAAGACATAAATAATGAAAGCTATACTACTACTCGTAATATTGAGCATCCATAAATGTTCTTAAGCTAGGATTCCTCAGTCTACCGTCTGTGAAATACTAAACTTAAAAGAGAGTTCTTGAGAGAATTTTACTAAGCCTGCCTTTCCAAAAATCCTATTTGAGTTAAGCTGGCTATTTAATATAAATTTGCATTTTGCTCTTAGATTTATGCACCTAGCAGTGGCTCTGTAGCTAAAGACGTGAAGCGTTGGTAGTTCGCGTCAGATTTCTTATCCGGACAGTGGATTATTTAGATTACAGTAAAGCAGAGGGTTATTTGCTTAAGCAAAGTGATGCCTTAGTAAAGTACTTTGTGATGGAAACTGGCTTGCACTTGCGCAACATATATGGAAAACTCCCATGCAGTCAGCCTGTTCACCTGGAGTTAACCCGTGTCGAACTACCAGTGTTGAACGATTTTACCGCACGGCTGCTGGTGAGCCTTTCCCGTAGTAAACACGGTTGACTGCATACACTCATCCTCATGTGTTGCTTTAATATAAGCTAGTCTTCCTTAAAAAGGTTTGAAAGCAATCAAATAACCCAAATCTTCAGGTATGAATTGATTTCAAGAAGAAAGAAAGAAAAAAGAAAAAAAAAAAAAACCTAAAGTTGGTTTTTCTTTTTTTTCCCCCCTTCCCATTTCCAAGAAAATATTTGCTCAAATGCGATTTTTAGTTTTGAGTGGAAATTTGCACATATTATATAATATCTCACAATACGTGCAAATTCTTATTATAATTGGACATATTATACAGTATCATCTTATGAAAGCTTTGTGATTAAATTTCATACCTAACTAAAAAAAAAATCAAATAAAAGTATAACCGGCTATTTCTTCCCGTTACCAACTTGCATTAGAGTTAATTTTTTCCGAACTGAAAGAATAGTATGAAAAATAGACTTGGCAAGTTGTGTAAAATAAAGACTCCTTGGAAAAGTACTATATTATATATTCAAAACTGTATCGATAATGCTTGGATTATACTAATAATTTATAATTTGTCTTGATTTGAGATAAGGTTTTTGCACGTATGGTATTCTAAAGACTATCTCAATAACTATGATATTAACTCGAAAGTTTAAAATAGTCTTTTAAAAAGTTTTCTTATATTATGAAGTTAATTTTGAATTTTAAGCAGGCTTACATTTTAGAATTCCATTTTAATAGATGATATAAAACTTTGATCCTCATAAATATTTTTCGGTAATTTTGCTTTTGAATTTTCAGTAAACGTATTTACAGGTATTGTGTATTTCATATTTCTAAATTTGTAAAGATATTTCCAGTTCTAATATTATGTTATAAATTAATTTTTCTAAGCAGATACTTAAATATAGAAAACCTAAGAATCTTATTGCTTTCAGTTTCCTAAATCATTGTCTAAAATTCTGTATAGCTCAAATAAATAAATCTTTTCAAAGACATGTATTCTATCACTTCGGCATGACGATTGTTCTATTAAGATATATCCTTTCCATTATTTGGTTTCACTGAAACGTTCAAATTTTAAAGCGTAAAGAAGCGCAATGTATTGAGTAAATATAAAAAAAGTTACAATAGGTACATAGTATTGTATGTGAAAAAGGGTGAAGAAAACTTCTTTAGAATTAATGCAAGCTTGGCTGAATACTAAAGAATCATTTTCCTTAAAATATTTAATGCTTCGATAACGTTAGAACAGTCCTGAGAACTGCAAAGAATTAATGTATTCAAATAAAGTTTACGGATAAAAGAATAATACCTCAAGCGTATAAAACAACACATGAAGCACGAGACAGCTTTCAGACTCTCTCGTGCTTCAACCATTCAACCTAGCTTAAAGCCGACAGACATCTCTCCTTAAGCAATTTCCTATTTTTCTTCTTAAGAACTTAAGCATGTTTTAAAGAACTGTTATAATTCAATATTTATTTCTCTAAATACATATTTTATTCGTATGTTTTTGAAAGTGACATTTTGAATATAGCACCCAGTCTAAGAATGTAAGAAAGAACATATATTGTTTAGAAAAAGAATTAGCTCTAAAAGCAATAAGTCTAGTACTTCAAACCTCAACAAATTTGATGCTAAGCATACTAATAATTATACCTAATAACTAACCTGATAGTTAGCATACCTTTAAGTTACATTTGCCATTATTTTAATATCTGTCTTCCATTATTTCGATATAAATACTTAAAAGTTACGTAGGAAATAATTCATTCATTGCTAGTGGTTGCAGCATTTTTCATTTTTTAAATTTATTTAATTAATTAATTTATTCTTTAAAGTTTGGTAAACTAAATATAATCTCCTCCTATAAGAGTTCATCTGCCTTATAGCAGATAACTGTCATATATCCAATTGCTCTCGACATTTTCTTTGATGACAGTCTTTTATTTCTATATGCACTATTTTCGCATGTAGTGCTTTTTGACCTGATTATTGGAAAAGGTAAATAATTAATGATAAGTGCTCAAAGACTATGTTCCTAAAGATTACTTATACCTTCGAAGAGAAATTCCTAGCGAAACTTCTAACTCGTATTTAAACCTGCACATGAAGGGAGGAAAAAAAAAAAAAAATAAATAAATAAATAAAATAAATAAACAAATAAAAATAAAGCGCTGCATTCTCCTTGATCTGCAGTTGGATACAGAAATCACTACATAGCATTGGTCGAAGAGGGCTTCGAAAATAAGTAGTTCGTCCCGAATTCGTTTCTCGGCGGCTGGCCAACTTCGTTGCAAGGAGATTTAATGTACCCATAGATTATTTTGTGTACCTAGCGATATTGCCCTGATTTTATAAAGCCCACCAGCGGCCGAGCGGTAAAGTTGCTGAACACTGGTAGTTCGGTCCGAGGTTCGAATCCCGCTAACGGGTTGGCTGCATGGGTGTTTTCGTGGTTTTCCCCATGTGTAACGTGTATACGAGCCAGTTTCCCTTAGAAAGTCCTCCACGAAGGCATCCCTCCCCTTAGGCACATGGCCCTAGTGTGCTTTGCCATAATTAAATACACCACACTACACCACACCCTGATTTTATAGCCACAGGCTCAGCTATTGTCCATAATTCTTGAACATAAAAACTACTCGAGTGTTCTTGGTAGTTGCACACAGTTGGGTATACCATCTCAATTAGTTAAAATAAGATTGGAGGAAATAAAAGGATTTTTGTTAGTTAATTTTACAATGCACGCTAAAATATCACAGAAACGTATGCTTAAATTCACTAAATAAAAGCGCTTAGATTAAAATTTTGAAATAAAATTAAAATTCATATAAATATTTATATTCCTTATTTTTAAATTGCAAAGCATAAAGATCATAAATATTGTTATATTATAAACTTTGCGGTAAAATCCGAAGCATTATAACATTGAAATGTGAAATATTCTAATACTTTGCTGTAGGAAAGCAACAAAAAAAGTTATTATCTACTAACAATTACACAAAAATATAGATTTTATAGCAAAAAATTTAAAACATGAATATCCCTAAGTATATTATAAATGTAGCTTATTTATACATACAATCCAGCTATTTATTAAATTAATTCTATCAAAGATTTTTCTTCATCTTTCGCAATAACAGTGTAAGGTATTTCTCCCGCCTTCTTAGCATGCCTTCGTAGTGAAGTGGTCAGCACGCTTGACGCGAATTCGAGAGGTCCGTGGTTCGAGGGCATTGCTAATTTTTCACATCTCTGCTTCGAAAATCCTAATATCTCTACAATGGCACCCGAACTTAAAAGGTGGTAAATGATGATTTCTTCACCACCAGGATTTGGCGATTGGGTTCCTTAAAGCCCCAGTCGCCGTTTAAAAGGGGGGGTATCTAAGGTTAAATTATTGCAAAAGAGTATGAAAGAATGAGTATCGTGAAAATCGCGTGACACATATAAAGAAACACTATTCATATATCAAAAACCATTAACTATGGAGTTCTTTAAAATGCTAATATACACTGTTGGCTATGACTATGAAAGAAGCGTGCAATAAATTCGAAATTTGCCACATGCGAAGACCTCGAGGGGATATACAGATGATTAGCATCGCAGAGATTATGTGTGGTGCTAAAGTTACCTAAAAGCAGTATAACAAAGGAGACTGTTTTAAGTACTGAAACAAAAGCATATATAACATTATATATATTAAATATATATAAATTAAACTTAAAGTATCACAGTTTACTTTAATACTGCAGCTATAGCGCAGGACTGGATAAAATCGTTTTTGTTTTTAATTTTTGGCCTATTACCATGTTTCTTTTTATATATAGTTTCTTTTGCATATATATATATATATATATTTACTATGCCTCTTTTCGTATATATATATATATATATGCTTTTGTTTCCCTTTATTGCAGCTTAGCACAAAATTATATACCTGATAATCTGTACACTTTTGTACTTTTTTAATATATCAAAAATGATTTCTATAACGTGACTTTCATAAGATAAAAGAAGATTAAACACAGTATAATCGCTCAAGAATGTTCTCGATGAAGATTTAATGCGCTCAAGAATGTTCTCGAAATTTAATTAATGTTTTAATCTTAAAGAAGCCTATGATGTCTGTTTAGTTAATCACAAATACTTGTAAAGTAAGTAAGAAAGGAGTCTGTGCTTAAGAGTTATTTTGATGTTTAAATTCATTAGTAACTGACAAGTCGCAACCTGGTAATGGAAATATATAAGCATCTAGCCTGTGGCAATACTATGAACTCCAAGAATTAAAATTATGCTAAAATGTACCAAAACAGCTAGTTTGCGCATACCGTAACAGAAATAAATAGCTCAGTCAAAAAGTTGTTGTTTTAGTTGCTCGCTTAAGGTGACCGGAAGTAAGTTACTATATTTGTTTCGTAAGAATTATTAGGTGGAGTTTATATTGGCTTAGCTGTGTATGTTGTGAAACTTATCGTAGGTGAATGGTAAAGTGTAAAAATCTTTCCTAACGTGAATAATTTCTTGTAATGTTACTTACATTATCAAATTTACTAAATTTTGGGAGGGAAAAAAATCGTAGTCGCAATAGTTTTTTACCGAATCTCTAAGATGCTGAAGTGTTTGAAAACAGATTATTCCAACCACTTAAAATGAAAAGTTAGCTCTTTAACGAAATTTCTTATATTTTCTTTATTTCAATTAACTTCCATTCCTAATCTAGCTCTGTTATCTGTGAAACAATTCGTATGCTGAAAATGAGCTTGAGTATCTGTTCTTCATAAACGGCAAAGACAGCTTAACTCGAACCATTTATTTCTCAACCCGTCTTAGCTTGCTCATATACGAGTATTTTAAGTATGTCTAGGAAATATCCCAAATTATACTGTTTTAATAACTGCACCCTGAGTATTTTGCTGGACTCTGTGATCATGCTATTAACACATGCGAATATATTTCGTACATCTTCTGAAGTAGACTCTCTTTATTCTACAGCTCTTAGAATTACTTAAAAGGTGAACAACTATTCATGCCTTTACGTGTAATGTTAGTACCTCGAATTGCGAAAATTAATAATGAAGGTCTTTGTATTTCAAAGTATAAATATCATCTATAATTAATTTATAGAATAATTAAAGAAATTTTCTTTTATTTACAGTTTGGAAAAATGTTGGCCTTTATCGGTTTCTGCTTGGCTTCCTTACTGCACGTGCCTGTCCATTCATCTTTCACAGTACCTGCTGAAATGTTATCCCCACTTGGTGTTCCTGGAGCTATGGGACCTGCTGGGATGACTGCTGTTAAGCTAGCTGTTGGAAGCCGACTACTAAATATGATAGGCACGCTAGGTGTTGGATCAACTGGAAGCCTGGCGTCTAGCCTTCTAGGTTCTCAGAAAGGCCCTCAGCAGCTGTTCGGTGGAGGCATTCCTGGGTTTCCTCAAATTACTCCAAAAAGTAAAGAATTTTCTAAAAGGAGAGGACCCAACATACCAACTTCCTTTAACATTCGCGAAGCAACTCCAGCTGAAATCGAGAATTTCTTTGGCGTTTTGCACAGAGTTGATGCCAATAAATGCATATCTAGACTGGTGTGTGAAATTGGTTCAAATCCAAAAGTCTTGGAAGGTCTTGGGCATAACATAAAAGACGTAATGGGGTAAGTGTCTTCAAATTTAGAAACTAATGAAATTCTTACCTTAATTTTCAGTGAGGATACCTAGATAATTTAGTGTAGTTATTAAACTTCAAAACACTAACTGTTAATAAGCTTCAAAAATAACTCTTATGCTATATATTTAATACTGGCTGAAGTTAAGCCATGTCTGCCTAGAAATGATAGCGTCCACCTAACTGGAAAGAATGTTTTTGTCTTCATTCTTCACAAAATCGTAATACAAATTACTCTTGATGCTTAATATTTAGCTGTCAAGTTCTATCTTATGAAATTTGCTCAAACTGAGCAATCTTTCAGTATAGGCGCTATGCATTATGAAACTTTAGTAATTTAGTAGTTAGTGTTTATTTTAACCCTTTGCATTCGCAACTACCGTCGCTTTTGCTTTCGTCCATATAGCGTATATATAATCTTAAATTTATAATGTACATGGCAATATTCGTAAACGAATGGTATAGTTCATAAACTTGGTAATTGTAAATGCTATAACTTACTGTAGCAAAATCTTTACGATTAACTAACACATTTAAGGTTAAAATGCAAGGGAGTTTCGTCTAGGTAAATTAGAATTTTGTTAATCCAGTCCCGCATGCCGTATTTTTACCTTTCAAGACCAACTTTTCTATCACCTTTAACAACTACCGTATATTCCTTTTCAATCTGTCGTTGTTAGATTTATGCAACTCAATTTAGTTATTAGGTTTCAACAGTTGGACATGATACCTTAAAATCATTTATTAGCTCCTTAATTCTTTCGATGAGAACTCTAGTATTTCACCGGACTTTTACCGCATTGGGTGAATCTAGGACCGCTGGTAGGCTTCTGCGATCGGTTCCTTACGGATAAGCAACTAGATACATTTAATTTTTCTAATGTTTGACTAGAAAGTGAAAGTTTAGTAGTTAAATACCATGTTCCCTAAACAGAATTGTTAACAATTCTTTACAATAAACTACGCGATACTAAATATACTTATGTCCATAAAGTTATTTACCGTTAAACATCGAATGAAGGTAATAATAGCCCTGAATGAAAATTACTAAACCACTTCGTCTCTAAAACTATTATTCAGACTACTATACCCTGGTTTATTGTGAATACGAATTCTAGAAAAGCCATCCCGAATATATTCTCTTCAGGTGGATAAGTGTGCTTTATCGTACTCAAAATGGACATTTACATTGCTACTCTCCTCAGTTTATGGTAAGCGTCTTACTAAGCCTTTAATGCTGAAGAGTCGCTAAATGCTAATATAATTGTTACGAAATTAATCTTTCCCTTTTTAGACCCTGTAGTCTTGGAACTAATTTGAACACTTGATACCTGTAGAAAGATCATAAAAAGGTAGTGTAGTACGTTACTGTTAATCTTAATAGTTAAGCAAATTTAGAATAAACTATAGCGTCCACTAGCTACGATTTTGTTATCGGTGAAACGAAGTGTTAAATTCTTGCACGGTTTCGTTTTGGCATGAATTCTCCTATAATCCTTCAATCTAATCCGAGTTAAAATCTGTAATTAAATGTTCACTTTCAATCTATTCTAAATTCTTAATAGAAACAAAAGCCTTAAATTATGAAGTACCTAACGTTTGGGCATTAAAAAAGCTTACTCATTAAGCACCAATTTTGGAGGAAATTAGTTTTCTAGACCTTAACGCATTTTCCAATAAATGTCTAGGCTCGCAGGGAAAGTCAAGCATATATAGCGTAAATACGTGCCTCACCTTTAGTACTCCACGTGAGTTTTGCCGTGGTCATTTATAAACACTCCTGCATTTTAAACGAAATTTAGTTGCGAAAAATATGAAACATAAGAACATTTATGCTAAAAAATTGCCGCTTCTTAACCATTATTTAAATTTCCACGCGAAAACAAGCATGCAGGTCAGTGGCGTAGTTAGGGTGGGGCATCTAGGGGGCTCCAAATTGATGCTACGAAATTTTTTAATGGTGTTTCCCATTCTTGGCACATAAAAAGGGGCGCAAATTCTTCAGGTGTCCCCGGGCGCTGAAAACCCTAGCTACGCCACTGATGCAGGTGTTTTAATAACTTTCGGATTGGTCTTTCGAGTTATTGAACTAGTTATCACAATATTACCTGACATATTGTTTGTATTTAAACCATTCACGCTTTTCACCTCCAAATTTCTGTTTGTATACTCTAAAGTGAAATAACTGAAGATTAAACGATAAGTATTTCGTAATAAAATTCTCGCAATGGAAATCTTATCGCTTACCACGTTGAGCGCGGCACCGAAGTTGCTGTCCTTTCCATTCACCCGGCAGCGAGCTAACCCGTATTTTTGTTTAGAATCTTTCAATACATATCGTTAAAACTAAATTTGATCACATTTCATTGAGACTATATTTATTTTTAACTTTAATACTGTCGGTTCAACGGACCGACGCCAGCCAAACGGGAAGTTCACTGCCGGTCCCCTGCTCAACGTATTAACTGCTAAATAATCTTAACTGAACTATTTAATTTGTGGCATTTGGAAATTTTCCCGAGTTTTATTCAAGTCTGCGCTTTTAGTTGCCAGCTTTTATCTGTTGGTCACTGGCTAATGCTTCAAAATTAGTTTGCTCCCTGCAACGGGTCTTTTCAATGAAGTACGAAAGCTCCGCCTTACGTAGGAAATGCATGCCAAATGGGCCGAAGGCACATAAATTGTCTTTCCGATTAATTACGCAGAGCAATCCTCCGCCTAAACCAAGATATCCGTCTTCAATGTTGTCCGAACATCTGCGTAGCTGATGTCACGTTTCGTTTATGAAACCGCGTTCTGAACAAATACTTCATCTACAGTATTTATGTACAAATATTGCTAAATAAAGCGGGTTAAACTAAACGTTGGTTTTCTGATAGTTACTGAAAAAACAATTTTTGACCGAAGTTGTTTTAAAATGTATCTATTTTATTTCTTTTCAGCTCCCTTAGGGTTTTAGAAAAGAACGCCCTTTCTACGAAGTATCGTCAGATCATGCTGCAAGGTCAAAAAAATGGCGCTGAAAGTTGCGTCCGCAATTTTTCAACATGTGATCAGAAGTCTTACCGCCTCATCAGGACATTTGTTCGAGCATTCAGAGTTAGACAATGATTTTGGAATTGGTGCTATTCAAGAACATGTATAAAACTTCAAAAGTTAATTTGTCGGGTTTCTTGTAAAAACTTGAGTTTTGTAGCTTGCAAAATAAATCTAAAATATTATAAGCGAATGTTTTAACTTTTTTGTTTCTACTTCTAGCAGACTAGAACTGCGAATCCTCGCCTACTCTTTGAAGGCTACCATACAAATGCTTGGTGATTTAACAAAATATCACTCAACCGTTTTGTTTCGCTCAGATAGTGTTGAAAGGAAGGAGGGCAGCTCTTAAAGGAAAGCGAGTCAATTGTGTGCCATAAACAATAGCAAATAACAATATAAACGGTCTTGAGCAGACAGTTCCATTTATAACGTTGTATTAAAAGTGCGAGCGTCGTGTGGTTTTAAGGTAGTGTATCCTGCGAGAGCTCTAAAGATGCATGTTCGTTTGAATTTGTGCACTTCTCTGGACTACCGGAAATTAAGAAACTGAACTCTGGTATGTTTTAATTTTTAGGAAATGTCGTAGTACAAATTTAAGCAATATAATCTACTTGGCATTTAGCTGTACTTTGCTGCATCCTACTTAATTTTCTTAGGCTGTAGTAATTAAATTGCTTTCAGAGCTAGTAAACCCCAAATTGGAAGTAAATTTCAGTCTTTCAGTGTTGCAGATAGGAAATTTTTTCATTACTAGCACGAGCTTTGTTCAAGCAATGCAATCTCACTCTGGCACTAGCGCAACTGCCGAAAGGTAACTTCTTAAATAAAATTTCTAATTGCGAAAGCGAAGAAATAAAAGTATACAACAATGCAATTAGTACTTTAAATTTTCTGCAAGATTAATGATTTTTCATTGTGATGTGCGCCTGTATACATAAGGTTTTCAATTTACAGTAAATGCTACATACATAAGGTTTTCAATTTACAGTTCACACTTGAGGGAATTCATTTACCTTCCTACGACCGAACTTGAAAACTGTTAGTCTAGTTGTTGCATTACATTTCAATGCTTTAGAAATGAACTTAAAAATGTTATGTTGGTTAAAACTGCGAAGTTGAGTGCCAACGGGATAGTGTACGGGAATTAAAAATTAACTTTAACTAATAAACTTAAACGATTAAACATCTCCCGGGTAACAAATCTTACCCATTTCTCCTTTCATAGGCCTTCACGAGGGCGTTTCTACACTTCAGGAAGTATGTAACTTTAGTACGCATTTTGTAATCAAATGTTGGACCTTGGTTTCTGTCTTGCCATGGGATTTTTATCGCGGACTTGCTAGCGTAGTAGACTTTTAATTCCCATTTCATAGCGTTCTAGATGCGATTGTAAATGAATACTGAATATTTCTAGATTTCTACCGCAAGAAAGATGGACCTTCTAAAATCATTCTACGATGCTAGTCGGTATTGGATATTTCAGCATAAATGGATTTCTTTTCTTAATCAGTGTACTGAACTTTTTCAAATCTTTACCACCACCCAAACTTCTGTTCCCTACCTGGTTTCCATGGGTTTATAATGAAATTTCACAATCGCTACATTCTATTTCGGTGGTTAAAGAATTTGACAAACTTCAAAATTCAATATAGCATACCGATTTATTTTAACTTATACGTACGTATTATCTCTTTACAAATAACTTTCACCTAAAGCTTTCACAAAAGTACTTTCCCTAGGTAAGTAAATATTGCATGCTTTGATATGATAGGGCAATGAAAAAAGCCTGTCTTTTGCTACAATGTTTCCTTAACATTTTTAATTACGTTGATGCATATCTCGCCGATTAGGAGGAAAGCATTAGACTGATATCTCAACATTCAAGAGTGGAAGGTACCTTGACTGTTGCGCAAAAGAAATCTCAATTCAGCACTTCTTTGAACATTCGGAAAGTTCACCAGCGGCCGTGTTATGAAACAAATGGACGCTGGTATTTCGACATGGATTCAAATCAGGCGAACGGTTTGGCTGCAAGGGAGTTTTCGCGATTTTCCCATGTGTAATATGGATAAGAGCCAATTTTCCTCGGAAGTTCTACATGAAGGTCTTTTTTTTCTTTTGGACAGTTAGGCCCACCAGCTGTCGAGTGGTAACGTCGCTGAACACTGGTAGTTCGGCTTGGGATCGAATCCCGGCGAAGAGAGCCAGCTTGCATGGTTGGTTTGCTCAACGTGGATGAGAGCCAGTTCCCCTTAGAAAGTCCTCCCCATATGCAGATAGCCCTAGTTGCTTTGCCTTAATTAACTTAATCTTTTGGTAATCTTTGTTCGATTATAGATAGCCCTTGCGTGCTTTGCTATAATCGAACATTCGAAGACCGTTACTAACTGAAATCATGGAAATTCAAATGCCTTTGAGCTTGAGGGGAAACTAGCCTCCAAAGACCACGTCGTTCAATGAATAACGAATCCTTCTGAAGAAACCAAAAAAATCTGCTTAAAACTGTTAGCTGTATTTGATTTAGGCCAAATAATTTCATTTTACCCTCAGTAGAGGTAGTATCATATACGAGAAACGCGGGCAACTAATCATTTACGTCAGTAAAGTAATAAAACAGTTTACATATATATATTACATCTCTTTACTAACAACTGCCATAAACAGACTGATGGTGTTTATATAGCAAACTATGCACTTTTAACTCCACTGATCGAAAAAACATTTTTAGAGAAGCCCAGTCTAACGCGCTAGGTTAATTTTATGTAGTACACTTGTAATCCTATCTAACTTTGATCTGACTGAAATTAAAGTAACGGTATTTTAGTTTGTACGTATATTTTAGCACTTTGTGCAGATGGATTTTTTTTTCGTCAGTTTCCATCATGTTGAATTAATTCATTCTTTTAAATTTAGAGATTTAGATAGCTAAAAAATCAAATTACAAATTAAACATAACTGAAACGAAGTCTTGTAATTGAGCTAGGTATTCTTATATTTAAGCAAAATAATTGTTTCACAACAGTAGTGCTAGATAACATTTTCATTTGAAAATAGATTTATCTGTAGGAAAAAAATCTAGGAAGAGCTCATCATTGACGATATTCCCGTAATGAAATATTTTTTCATAAATAAGTTTGGTTTCTGTAAGAAAATCTCATTTGTTACAAATAAATGCTTTCACAGTAAAAATTTATCGATATCTCTTATCAACAGAATTTTTATAAAACAAAGAAGTAATCCACACTTGATGTTATAGGAATTTGCCTGTTTCTCCTGTATGCAAACATTTCCCAAGTATGGGTCGTGGAAAGTTTTGAAGCATTCTTTTTTTATTAGTTAATTGCATATATTTAACTGCAGTTAAATTAAAAATTGTTAATAGTTATATATGCTTATTTATTTTATTTCATTATTACATTCTTTCTTTTGGTTAACTCTTCCACCTCTTCTCTCAGAATAACAATACGCATGTGGGTAGCCATAACTTGTAACTAGATCCATATGGGGTCCCACAATTAGGTTATTTCCACATGGTAAAGCCTCGAGGGCTATCTGCATAAGAGAAGGGATGCTTTCGCGGAGGACTTTCTAAGGGAAATTTGCTCGTATTCACGTTACACATGGGGAAAACGAACATGAAGGCAGCTCCTTCGCCTGGAATCGAACCTAAGCCAGGTCGAACTACCAGTATTCAGCGGTCTTAACCATTCGGCATATGGCAGGCGTTTGCGCGATTAAAGAGTTTGGGAAACCCAGCTCTCGAGATAAAATGAGACGGGTGATTTTCAAATTTCTCTTTCACACGCAGTAGCTGATCTGAGAAGTATGAGAATAATTATGAACCTCACCATTTTAATGAATATTTCAAAAATGCAATAAGGAATTTAGCTTTAAATAAAATTGTATATCATTCATCGCGTTCCATTTAAATCCTTCGACATCCGAAAATATTAATTTATGCTTTAGAACTTTGTGCAGCGCCCGGGTCGAATTTTTATGCACAAAAATTACTACTCAGAATTTTATTCTATTGTTTACTGTAATCCAGCATTTACAGCTATCAAAATGTTTGCTTTCTGATTTGATTAAATTAAAACCTGTCACAAAATTAACTCGAATTTACATTTTCAGGCAGGCAACATTCAAAACATACATTTTGCGAAAATTTATCAATGAAGACTAGAAGGAAATTTCAGCTTTTTCTGTGGCTTTCATTCACAAATCAATGCATCGCATTTGACACTGGTCATGAAGCATCATTAAATTCATCTGAACGAACGATGACGCTCAATGTTAACTTAGGATCAGCAAGTGAAACTTCCTCAACTGTACTCACCATCGATCCCGTGAAAAGCATACTAGTATGGACTGTTATTGAAGCTTTAGCACTCGGATTTATTACAACTGCTGCTATAAATTCGCTCCAGACTCCAGCTTACAGCCATCCAAAATTTTATCACCACTTTTATCACGCGCCTTTTGAACATTTTAGAGAGGACTTTGCAGAACCAGTAAAGGGATATAGAAGCACAGATGCCGGATCCTTTTTGGCTTCAGACTCTCTTGCATCAGACAGCACAAAATTAAACGAATTAGAAAATCAATTTTATAAGTTATATCTTGCACCTTGCTCCAAAAGCAATGAGACTAAAACTGTATTAAATGTTTCTAACAACCCTAATGTTTAAAGTTTTGGGGAAATTAGAGTTCTTAATAATTATATGTAACAAGCGTGATGATGAACTGAATATTTTAAACTTGTTCACAAAAATAGCAAAAAATTACTTCTCATCTTAGATTACTGAAAATCAAATGAAATAAAACAGAAAATCTGAAGAAAAATTTTGTTACACCATGGTGTTTTCAAAAGACTACGTGACATGCAGTCATTTGCCGTATTTATTATTACATAGTTGCATCAAAAAGGTCATTTTTCTTTGTCTTAGACATTTTTTATGCTTGCATGAGTAAGTACAGCCTGTATTAGACGTATGCAACATAATTTTACATGTAATTGCATAAAACTACAAAACTAATATCGATGCAATGAATTATAAATGCAACTGGCTTAAGAATTCATTTTTTTAACAGATTACGTTTCTGCTTTTATTTTTAGTTATAGCTGCACAGTTGAAATCTTTTATTTATGTCTTACATAGCAGTTACTCAATTGAATTCAGATTAAAATCA